CAGGAAAAAAAGAGGCTCTTTTTCAAATCAAATCAATTTATTTATATAGCACCTTTCACGGGATAAAAACCACAAAGTGCTTCACAGTAATATAAAAACAGAAATACCGGTACATAAAATACATCAATAATCAAACATACAGCACAAATCTAATTAAAAGCCAATCTAAATAAATGTGTCTTAAGCTGCTTTTTAAAAGAATAAATGCAATCAAGGCAATGTAATAATGGAGGGAGAGCATTCCACAAGCTGGAGGCCACTGCTCTAAAAGATCTATCACCTCTGGTCTTAAAACGAGTTCGTGGGACTACCAACAGCCTTTGATTAGATGATCTCAGGCTGCGAGAGGGAGCGTGGGGTTCTAAAAGATCAGAAATGTAGGCAGGGGCATCACAATTCAAAGCTTTAAAAGTCAGCACCAAGATTTTAAAATGAATTCTAAATGTACTGGGAGCCAGTGTAATGAACTGGCTCCCAGTTTTTCGTGTCTTAGTTAAAAGCTTTGCAGCAGCATTCTTTTTGTTTCTCCCTCCCTCACCTGAAGCATCGCTGAGTCGAAGTGTGCACATAAATGCACGTTCTAGGTAGAGCGTCTGTTTCCAGAGAGCCCGAGATAGGATTCTTTTTTTTTTCTTTTTTTTTTTGGGGGGGGGCATTATTTTATTAAAATTAATCATTAAAATTATTAGACGTTTAAGTGTATTTTTTATATTTTAGTTATACTTTGTTGATTCACTAAGTTACTTTATATTTTGTAAAGGAGAGGCTGGTTCCAGTCATGCCTAGTCTTAGATTAGATTTCAGTTTGCTTTATCTGTAAGGATATTCTTGCGCTTTCTCAAGAGTTTAAGTTTTATTTAGCTTAAGTCATATGGTGAAAGCCAAGCTATTTGCAACATTTTTTCCTCTCCTCCTGCTCAGGTTTTCATGGCCATGATGGGGAATGACAAGCAAGGACAGCTGATTGTCTATCACCTCATTGAGCTCCTCAAATCAGGCAGCAGGCTGCCTCAACCCCTGGGATGTCCTACAGAGGTATCATCGTGCTCTGCTGTTTGTTCTTTTGTTTTGGGGTTGTTTGTTTTTCTTGTCAAGTTATCAGCCCTAACAAATTTCGACCAGAACATAGACAAACTGATTGGACGGCTTTATTCCCAAGTAGTTGCTTAGTTACACATCAAGCAATTGTATCTTTAAATTGAAGTCATGCTTTTCTCTGCCACTCTATTAGGTACTCCCTGCCTAGTACTGGGTTGTATGCCCTTTTGCCTTCATGGTTGGCCTAATTCTTACAGTAAACTCACAGTCATGTTAGGGGAATGAGTTTGACATCGTTAGAACTCTGTAACGTGGTCTTATCATGCTCTGAGCTACTATTACAAAATGGGTACTAGAGCAGGGCGATATGACCAAAAATATTTATCACAATATACATTTGAAAATTTGTGATAACGATATAACTGAAAATATAATTGACTCTAGACAAAATACTTTACAACTCCACAACTTTATTAGTGCAAAAAACCCCATCAATGTATTTTCACTTAAACAAGCAGTTGTTTTTTATGTGCATTAAAGTTATATAAAAATGTAACAGTGCAAATTCCTTGCTGACAGTTTAACCAAAAGGCATTTCCAGTGGAAACTGGCCGACATATCCTCAGCATAACCATGTATAATATCCACAAAACTTAAAAAGAGGTTATACACACACACACAATACGGTAATATTATGTTGAAGCACAGTACGTATCACTCCGCGAGGCTCCTGCCGTAATGCTCCGACAATCCATCAAGCGGTGCGGCTTCGTAGCTTAGCAAAGTCGTACTAAAACATTTGACAGATTTTCGAGCGCCGTCTAACACATAAAATCGTTTCGAGGTCAGTAAACACAACCAGAATTCATACATGGGGCACTGTCGTATTTTCCAAACAACACGGTAATAACGACGACCCGCTAGCATGCGCTACCAAAAATAGTGCTTTGTTGTGTATCTGACGGACGAAAGCTAAACCAGTTCCACACCACTGAAGTTGCAGCACTTTTACAAACCACTTCTGGTTCATCCGTTTCATTCAACAATCCACTTTCGCTCTTCTCATTCTGCGTCACCGCCATGTGCGTATGTAAACATAGGCTCTGCGCATGCGCGTTTTACCCATATTCTATCACGATATTTCATTTTCCTATCGTTGCCCAAAATTACACCGGTATTACCGTGAACGGTATGATATAGCCCAGCCCTAATGGGTACACTGTGGTTGTGGCTGTGAATGTTATAACTTGAGTACAAAGCAGCATAGGAGTTTGAAATTGATCCCATAGATGTGCCTACTAGGAGGCTGAGGGAAGCACTGATGACTACCAGTGGTTTCTGCAGGTGTGTGACAATCCCAGCCTGTCTGGCATCAACAGCTGTGCCACATTCACAGTCACTTAAATCCTCTTTTTTCCCCATTCTAAGTTCAGTTTGAGCTTCAACAAGTTGCCCATTGAGAATAGTTTAGACATTCAAGAGTTTTGTTGTTAGTCATCAGAAAAATCAACAGAAATCCTTCTGAGGATTGTTATGACTCCGTTTCCATATCAGGAATCAAATCACTACCAGTAGTTTTTTTTGTTTGTTTGTTTATTTGTTAATTGTTCGTGTCCTACTCTTTTTCAGATACATGAAATCATGGAGGAGTGCTGGGACAAAGACCCTGGTTTGCGCCCTTCTTTCAAGGAGCTGGCCCTGCGCATCGACCTGTTCAGGGACAGTAAAGCGTTTTAAATTCACCCAAAGTGCCCTGCTCCTCTTCACCCGAGATGCTCTTAATGTTATTGCCCTACTTGTGGCAAAGGGACAAAGCCCAAAGTGAGGTCCTTCCCCTGATGGATCCCAGCATGTGGCAGAGCAGCTTGCAAATGGAAGAGTTGAGGTTTGGAACGAGAGCCTGCTTATAAACTAGTGCCTTTTAAGCAAGGTGCCCCCCATGTCGGCCCACAGCACAGTGGAAATGGAGGAGGAGCTTGGACGGTTTGAAAGTGGAAGGTGATGTTCCTGAATTCTGAATCTGTTTGGTCAAATTTGTAACAGAAAAGTTTTGAGGTGTTAGACTGTGAGTAGACTGTTGCCAGGCCTAAAGCTACAGATGCTTGTGGCGAACAAGTTCTTTGTGTGCAAGCGTGTGTTTGTGTGAGAGTGAGTGCCTGTTGTGTCTATACAAACAGCTAGCAGGGCTAGCTCTTGCCATTTCTTGTCCTTGTCCAACCAGAGAAATAGACAAAAGCTGTTTTTCTATCTATGTTTGTATATACCTACAGTATATTTGTGTATATATGTCCAGTAAAATTTTATAATTTTGTAAAATTAAACTAAATATTATATTTGAACTGCCATGTTATTGTAAATGAAGTATGTGCAAAAATTATTTTAAGAATTGTTTTGTTTGCAATGTAAGAGGTTGTGTGAAAATTAAACGGTATAATTCAACTGTGTATATGTTACGCAGATTTTTTTTGTGTTCAGTTCCTTTTAATGCCATTTATCAGCATAAAGTATCGTGCTGTTAATAGGGCCAGTTATTAGATAGCGACAAATGAGAACCTTCCAAGCAACAGCAAAAAATAAATGACTGAAGATTAGGGCTGCCACGATTAGTCGACTAGTCACGATTACGTCGACTATCAAAATCATCGACGACTGATTTAATAGTCGACGCGTCGTTTGAAGCTTTGTAAGATCACAAAAGACGCAGGAATAAGTAGTAGGATTTAAGAGTGTAATAACGGACTGATACAGAAGATGGCAGCACTGCATTTACAAGGATGCCAGCTGCCGTTAAACCCCGAAGAAGAAGAAGAAGCAGTGTCCCAGAATTCATAGCGCAGCCCAGCTCAAACAGCGGCAGCTAGTTAGTTTTAATATTACTCTTATTATTCTTTCTGGGTCACAAAATAAAGGTTTAACATATGTTCAGGCGAGAATGTAGCTGTGTAAACCTCAAATATCTGCTCAGTTTATCAAGACACCACATATTTTCAAAAGCGCTCCGACGTTTTCGGAGACGTCTGTTACCCACTAGCTCGATAGCGAGCCGGGGGCTAGGCTCACTAGTGACCTGAGACCCACCGCTGTCTTTCGCTACTCAGGTTAAACATATATAAGTCACTTAGATAACTTAACAATGTTATTGTTTAGCTTTTTTTAGTATTTTATTTGTTCCTGAGTAAATCAGTTTGGCTGAGATTAAAGTTATAGTTTTTACACAGCTGAATAAACGTCAAGCAGACAGCTGATTATCAGAAGTGTGAGATTCTCGAGAATATACTCCAGTGTCCTGTTATATTTTAGATAGCAAGGAGTTTATTAAACTTCACCGAAACAATCTGCAAATTTCATTAAAATTTAATAAACTACATCTTGTCTTTATTTTTAGTTAGCACAGACCTTAAACACTTAAAGCTGTAAGCTAATGATAGTTATATAAGAGCAGATGCTGCTGGTGCAATAAGATGTACTTTTACGTCCAGTGGACTGCATGATCTGATTAGTCGACTAATGCAAAAATAATCTGACTAGTCGACTATCAAAATAATAGTTTGTGGCAGCCCTACTGAAGATTCACAAACATTTACACCAGTGTCTTTGTCTTGATGCACACTCAATAGCCCAGGTAAGAAAGTCACATAAAGCTGATTCTGGGAAGAAGTCGCTTGGAAATGTTGCTCTCACTGAAAATGCTGCCTTGAGATGAAGGGATCATCTGGGATTGGTGTCAAGGTGATTAGTGGATGTGTTCCCCAAAGTCTTTGATTCCCTCTGTGCTGTTACAGATTTTTCTCTTAAGATGTGCTTCACATGGTTCTCTAGATTAGACTGCTGCTACTCATACAGTACTTTGTTCTGATTTTGTGACACCAGCAAAAAGAGAGAATAAGTCAAAAATCCAGAAATATCAACTTCTTTGGAGTCAAATAGTGATTGTTTTTGTGTTGTTTTTTTAATAAAAAGATCACCTTCTTTATTTTACGGCTGGTTTCGTTTTTTCCTCCTCCTGGTGTAAGTTGACGTCCATTGGCTGCTGATTCAAACTGCTAAAAGCTATAAATAGACTTTGTGGAAAAGGTCACACCGATCTCTTTACAAAGGAACCTTGCATGTAACTTTCCACGGTAAATATGAATCGCTCTTTACATGTCTAATTGCTTTTTACTTGCTAATTCAAAAGCAACAGACAATACAACGTATATGGAAATTGATATTTTATTTTGAAATCCGGATGACGACGTTTGAGCTGTGACTTCGTACTCGCTAATGATGGTAGGCGGACTTGTGTTTAAAGCGGACGTTAAAGGTTGTGAGCTGTCGTGGTTTTGATAACTGCGAAGAAATCTTTTAAAGTTGAATGGCACACATCCCAACTGTAACCTCTTTCTGTCCTCTCAGTCACCACAAACGTCCAAATGAGAGTGCACTTTAATTCCGAGGAGAGCTGGATTTCACAGCGCAGATGCGACTTCACCACAGTACATAAGCCGGTATGTTAGCAGCAGATATTCCGAGAAGACCCGGGGAAGGACGTTAGCTTCGCAGGTGATTTTCCACTTTTTTCTGTTTATGTCAATACCTTTAACGTAAAGGAGACGCAGTGAGTGTACCAGCCTTGTAGACAATAAGACAAATGATGCTGATCGAACATTATTTTAAATGTTTAGTCCGCTCATTGGGAGCTAAGCTTGTGAAACCGGGCTGCAAATGTTAGAAATGTTAATGTTAGAAATAAATATTTTAAAACAACAACAATAGGGATGATACAATTTTAACATTTAAATACCTCTAAAAAGACTCTTTAACAAGCGTGAGGCATATAAACTTATAATAATTTAAAATGTAAGATAAGCATATTCCCAAAACAAAAACATGAGTATGTTCCTGTCTGTGTATAGAATAATTATTAGCAGTTATTGCAGTTATTATAGCCACAGCTTTTACAAGAACACTAATGTATATTTAATAAAATTAATATGAACAATATTCTCACTCTCGGATTTTCCTCCTCAGATAAAGATGATGCAATTAAATGTAACAAAAGTTTTAATACACAAGACTTAAATACCCTCCTCCACATACCATTAATATTTAATATAAAATGAGCTCAAATTTCAACAGCACAAAGTGCTATCAGTTTGAAAAATATAAGTTAAAATAAATATCATATCAAACTCAGAAAAACCTCTGCTTTGAAGATGGACTTTTTTTGTTTTCTGTGAAGCATAATCGGCATCGAGTCACCCTTTTTTACCCACATCTCCACATCAGCATACAGGGAAGGAGGTTCATTTATGTCAGCAGCAGACTCTCCAGTTTGAAGGTTGTCCTGTTTGTTTGCTTTAACAAGCAGATTCCTCATCTGAATACGCCACTGTGCCAAAAACATTTGATTTGCCAATATTATCTTGATAAACTGGCAAAATCACAAGTGAAGCGCACAACAGGTCACCAACTGCTGTTTCTCTAACAAAATACATTAGAAAAACAAGCAGAAAAGTCCTTCACAGCAACAGTTTCTGCATGATACCTGCTTTTTAGCTTAAAATGTAGGAATTATTTTTCTTAAGTAAAAGTCATAATCCAACTTAATACATAGTAGCCTACAGCGAGAAGAGACAAGAGCTTTCAGAGAGGGTTGTGCCACCCCATACGCTCCCTTTAGACACGCCCCTGTGTAGTCACTCATACAGTTGTATAGTTTTTCACTTCTGAGAAGTTTCTGATCACCGCCGTAACTGGAGATTTTTTCATCCGCAGGAAAAAAGCCTGCAGATAATTTTTAAAAGATGAAGTCCAGAAAAGTTGAACCCCCCGACGGCGGGTATGGCTGGGTGGTGGTCATGTCAGCCTTCTTCACCATGGGCCTTACTGCTGCTGTTCTCAAAAACTTTGGACACTTCTTCATTGAAATCCAGAATCACTTCGGAGTACAGGCCAGCACCACCTCTTGGGTGACCTCCACAACAATTGCTATGCTTCATCTAGGAGGTAAATAAGTGGTTTTCAATCTGTTGTTTTTAAACCAAAGGCGTTTTCGTAGAGCCATTGTTATTCTCTCTGCAGCTCCAGCAGCCAGTGCGATGACCTTACAGTTTTCTCAGAGAGTAGTCATCATGCTTGGAGGCTTGCTGGCTACCTTAGGAATGGTGCTGGCTTCACTGGACCTCAGTTTGCCCTGGCTCTACCTCACCATGGGCATCCTGCAAGGTAGCACACCCGGGACATACTCTAAATCCTACAAAGCAAATTGAACCATTTTGAGGGTTTGAATGAAAAAACTAACCTTGTAAACTGATTTTTAGGGCAGAAAAGAAAAGTATCACTGCTACTAAAAGTTCAATATTTTGTGATTTTTGAGGATAATCGTCACGTTCCATTTCATGTTAAGAAACATGTTTTTCCACCAGCAGCACTACTACTACAATTGCAATGGACTCTTTTAATGTTTGCATTTTGAAACAGACAAAACAGCATGAAATGGTATGCAAAGACTTACAGTGACACACACATGTCCTTAGAAGTGACGCGCTACAATTAAAACGAATCTGGGACATGCAAGTAATGCTAATACTGGCAGACCTGAGTCTTGTAAAAGAAATAGTGGGTGGTTAATAATTTTCATCATCTCTATTTCCAGGAACAGGTCTTTCCTTCTCCTGGATCTCTGCCAACAGCATGGTGAGCCACTACTTTGTACGATGGCGTCCCATTGCCTTTGCCATCGCCAGTTCAGGTGAATGCGTCTTTGCTGTTATGTTCAGTCCGTTCTTCAAGTGGCTCATTGACACCTACAGCTGGCGGGGTGCTTTGCTCATCATTGGAGGCCTTCAGCTGAACCTGTGTGTGTGTGGTGCGCTCATGAGACCCCTGAAGAAGACCACGAGACCTGCACAGGACACCAAAGACAGTCTAGAGGGAGATGCAACCACACTCCTAGCAAAGAGAAGGACCTTCTTCCAGTGCTTCCTCATGAGAAAACCTGAATTTTTTCTGTACATCCTGTTTGCAATATTTTCAGCTGCAGGGTTTTTCATCCCACCTCTTTTTCTGGTCCCCTTTGCTAGCAGCCTGGGTATGGATAAGTACTGGCCTGCTATGATTCTTTCTGTTCTGGCTTCAGCTGACCTGGCAGGGAGGCTGATTTGTGGGTGGATCGCCAACATGAGGCTGGTAAGAAACCTGCAACTGCTCACCATGGTGGCCACTCTCCTTGGCGTGGTGCTCCTGCTGCTGCCCATCAGCCAAAACTACTGGGCCATTCTGGTGTTCGCCTCACTCTACGGCTTCCTGTTTGGCTGTGTGGTGGCCATTCACGTCACAGCTATTGTGGACATTGTAACCCTGGAGTGTTTCGACAGTGGACTCGGACTCTTTATGCTTTTAAGGAGCATTGGAGGTTTCACTGGTCCACCTGCTGCAGGTAATGCGGATTATCAATTATGTTTTTTGTTATTTGTTATGGAACTACAAATGTCGCAAAACAATTTTCTGAATGAGGATCATTTAGTGCTTTTTTATTTCACGTTTTGACTTTGATGAATTTTACTGCAGTTTATTAAAACCATCTTTGAGATCATGTGCACCAGGCCAGTGAAACTGCCCTTTCCATCAGGGTACAGACATTTAACTCATGTAATCCCTGAGATAGCTTAATATAAAAAAAGAAATGCAATCTCAACAGTATCTCTTAGTTTCTCTTATCAATAAAGACATGCTGCTGTGGTAAATAAATGAAAAATGGCTCTTTGGGCTTAAATTCTGAGACGTATATGTGTAAATAAAAAACTTTGTTACTTTGGTCAAGTATAACTGGCCATAAAGGGGAGGTCTTTATCTATTGGAAAGATGTAAACTGAATGAAAATAGAGTTAAAAGTCCAAAATTGATGTCTTAATTCTCATTTTACAAAGCCATCCAGTGGATCAGATTGGAGTCTTCACCAGTCTGATTCAGATTCTGGAAAAGACTGACTTTGATGTTAATACTTTTTGCTAAAGATAGAAATGCGCTCAAGTTTAAATATAGTAGAAAAGTGCTATATAAGAACTAGTTCATATGAAGATAAAGCCTGACACACAATTTTATTTCAGCTTAGTTCAATGAAATTAAATTTTATTTGTATAGTTATTAAGATAAGATAAGATAAGATAAGATAAGATAAGATAAGATGACCTTTATTAATCCCACAGGTGGGAAATTTGTTTCGTTACAGCAAAAGTGCAAAGTTATGTAGCAGAAATGATATAAATTCAGGGTGCAGGTTTTGCTGACATAAAAGCGGCACTAGCTCCTTTACCTTTGAAGTAAACCTAAACATTTTGACAATTATGATGTGTGTCGGAGCTGCTGCTGTGCATAGCTGTGATCTCATGGCTCCAGGTGCACTCAGCAGTTTGTTAGCCACATCTAGCAGATGTGAACTGTTCAGTTAAACATTACAGAGCAGATACCAAAAAATTTACATTTTTTATGGTCATTAAATATTTAAATCTGACGTGACATGATCTTGTTGGCTTTTATGTCAAATAATAAGACTGCTTGTTAGAAGTCATCAAAGAACAAAACCTCTTTTACAGTAAATGTCTCAAACATTTCTCTGCATGAACGCATACCCGTGTTCATTTATTCATCAGCACTGGTGGTGTGATGTTTCTTCTTGTCCTGATTACTTGTGCAGGCTGGCTGGTGGATTACACAAACAACTACAACGTCGCCTTCTACCTCTCGGGCGTCTGCCTGATTGTGTCCGCAGCGTTTGTCGTCCTGGTCGACCGCCTGGTTCATAAGAGGAGAGAAGCAGCAGAGCCTCAAGTTTATTGTGCCATCGACCAGCAGGAGGATTGGGAAACGGCAAAAGCCGAGTCAGACACTGTTACATAAAGGGAGAACCCAGCAGAGTTGTGGGGTGCATGCTGTTTTTTAGGGGCACATACTGATATCAGCGGATATTTTTTCATGTATTTTTATAAATAATCTATATTCACATATAGTGATGTAGGAAGGCAAGTGCATCACCTGGAAATTTCATTTCACTAGAATAACCAAGCATGGAATCCTCTATTATTGGATCCTAACAGATAAGTGTGGCATACTTGAACACAAACACAAAGAAACTTAGCTTTTTTTAATTATTTATTCAAAATAGAAAATTAGTACTTATGTGTAGAGAAAGCACCATCAGAAGCAGCACTCTTCTTCTTCCCGTCTGTTATATCAGCTTTTCTTCTGTGCAGAATAGTGTCAGTTTCAGGATGTTTTAGTGTTGGGGTTTTGTGTGTTCTGCCTGTTTTGAGATATTCGTTGGTGTTCCTGTTCAGAAATCTGCTTGCAGTTAAACTGATGCCCTTGCATCAGACTACTTGATATGATGGGGTTTTCAGCTCAGTCAGCAGAGTCAGTGTGACAACAAAGGATCCACCAAAAACAACACTTTCACTTAATTTTCACTTGTTTGCTTCTCAGTGAGTATGTGTCGAAGCTCGTTTCCACCACTGACATAAAGGATTTATTGACAGGTAGATTTCACGGTAGATATCGCAAAATTCTGACAGACTAACTCAAACTTCTGTGCAAGGCAAACTTTTGAGATAATAATCCCAAACTTTGGGGTGATTTTTCAGTGTTGCTTCTCCTGAGAAGCAGTCTTACAATCCTGCTGTTCACAGCTAAACACGTGTTGCACGTTCACTGGCAGACTAGTTTAACTCTATTTTACTAACACACCTTTTTTGCAGTCTAACAGTTGAAAGAGTTAACTGCAGATACTGTGATCGATTGCAGATAATTTGTCTTACAGTGGAATGACTTCTTAATGTACTTCATTCTTTGACCTGAAAGCCTTTGTCAGTTATTTAGATGTCACACCCCAAACAGCTTCTGGTTGTTGGCACCTCATCTGAAGCTGCTTATTTAAATTTTATGCACTTGAAGAAGTGAGATAAATGTAGAGAAGTCTCTGCATTTTCCATATGATTGATCTGCTATTATAAAAATGAGTACAAAATAACTGCTTTGCCATTTGTAGAGCAAATGAGTGGTTACTCTACAGACAAAAAAATCCAGCTATTTCCAGGGTAAAGTGCCTATGTCTGAACACTTCATGCAGGGTAGTCTTTGTGGGCTTGAATGCCAGGAAAGCAGTTTGATTTGTTAAATGTTTAGTTTTCTGCCAGCAGATAGGGGATTTGACCTAGTTAAACAGGTTTTGTATGCCCTGTGTGAGATGACCTGGTGAATTTATTCCCGTGCTTTTCAGGTCTCATTAGGCTTTATTCTTCTGTGTTCAATCAGAGAAATGAACCAGCTTATTACTCGAAACCCTTAACAGATTTTAAGACACACCAGGGAACAGATATCACAAAAAGGAGCTGTATTGTTTCAGCTTGAACTTTTGTGCAGTCACACATTTTGTAATCAGAATTGTATAACCCATCGTTAATGGGCTGCAAACTTGTGACACTATAATTATCCAAAGTTAGCCCGGAGGACCACGTCATCTGAGTAAAAATAAATACTTTGGTCTTTAAAAATAAAACAAGCGGAATTACCAAACTGAAACACTGCAGCTGTACGTCTGTAGCAGATGTGAGGCAGGTCTTCATCTGCAGAAGTGACTGAAAGTAGTTCCAGCAGAGTTTAAATAACAAGGCTGATGATGTCCTGAGGAACTCATTCCCAAAATTCATCTGTTTCTTGGAGAGGGGGTGGCTGCTGAAGCAAATCTCATATGGTACCAAATTAGCCTTTATAATTCCAATAACTACCTCAAGCAGTATATTATTTAGTTAACATTACACAAGCAGGAGTAAACTGTATATATGCTGGATGGGTTAATACCGTAGACTTTAGATTCTTCCTTATAGCAATAAGAATGAATAGTTTTTATGGGGGGAGTGCTACACTAGAGTCCCCATCTTTATCAGGTGACCCAGGAAAGCGGTGTGGCTCAGTGAAATGCTTTTAAGAGGAAGAATCTATTTTAAGAGGAAAAATAATTACATCAGTCATAATTGTTGGTTTTTGGACCTTTAATGCAGTTGAAAATATTATAATCGTGGCTCAAGAGTTGGGAGTTCGCCTTGTAATCGGAAGGTTGCCGGTTCCAGCCCCGGTCGTTGTGTCTTTGGGCAAGACACTTCACCCGTTGCCTACTGGTGGTGGTCAGAGGACCGGTGGCGCCAGTGTCCGGCAGCCTCGCCTCTGTCAGTGTAAACATGCATTGTGGTTTAAAATCAACAAGCCTCATTTCTGTCAAATCAGAAACATATTTTATGGTGCAGTTTTTATGGTATATGTAGTGAACTGTAAATGTTCAGACTTGAAAAGATGACACACAGCTGCTGCAGCTAATTAGCCGTCACAGTTCAGGTTACTTTTTTTTAAGCACACACTTTTATATATCTCGTGGATACTTCTGGCTGCTCTTCTATTTTCCCAGAGGATTTGCCAAAGTAGATGATCCACGTGTTTGATTTGGCACCGACTTTTATATCCGATGCCCTTTCCGACACAACCATCCCATTTATCCAGGCTTGAGATCGTCGCTAGAAGTACACAAGTTTGTGACACCCTGAGGCCGAGTTTGTGTTTCCTCTTGGTCTTAAACTGTTTATCTAATATGTGTGAGGTAAATGGGGCATTTATGGGACATTTTAAATTGCTACGGGAACTGTTAAGAAATAAATCTGTGTCCTCTTTTGTTATCTAGAGTCTTGGTCAGGCCGGCCTTTCTAAAGCTAAAGACTTAACATGGAGAACCACTGAAACACTCAGGGGGACATTTGCAGTGTGTGTGCGGGAATCTGTGGTATGTGCTGTGCAAATTACTCACATTATGTTATGTAATTAGCTTCTCAAACCAGTTTCAGCTGGTTTTCAGTTTTCAGCTGGTTTCATATGACAAAACATGTTCTGTTGAAACAGTCACTTCATAAAAGAAAATAAGTTTGAGGTTAGGCAGTTTAAACGTGTTTAAACGTGTCAGTATTTGCTAAGAAACTGATTTTTATCATTTCAAGGACCATTAAAAAAATGTTACAGTCCAGTTTGGGGTCATTCATCTGTTTGATGGAGATTTTGTCACAATTGATATACTAAATAATTTACCAATGATCAAACTGGGTTTTTTTGTTTATATAATGTAAATGGTAAATAAGTCAAGGTTAAGAATGTTTGTTTACCTGGTTATCATAAAAGCAAATGGAAAGTTGTAAAAGGAGATGAACAGTGACAGAGCGCAGAAATACTCCTGAAAGCCCTTTCATGAAGATGGCGGGGGGAGAAGTACAGCACAGTAGAGCACTTAAGGGTTCCACAGTGGGATGGATTTTGCCGTAATGTGGGGAAGACAACAGGTGTTTATTATATTTACCTACTGGTCTGCACAAAGCCCCGGCTTGAATCCCTCTGAAAATCTGGGAAATTAAGTGAAATCTGGAGAGAGATTTGCCAGAGAAGGAACAGCTGGGATTGCTCAGAAGACATGTGTGAAACATGTTGAGAACTGCAGGCGGTGTCTAGTAAAACTGACATGACTCATTGTTAGCATCAGGAGGCTAATAATTGCGACCGTGGTAGTTTTTGTGAAATTGCTTTGTTTGTGGAAAGTAAAATAGAAACTAAGACTTTGATGTTTGGAAAAGCTCTAAAATTCATCTGTTTGACAGCACTTGTGAAATAGTTTAAAACAATAAGTCTTTACACTTTCGTCATGAATTGAATTTTAGCAGCGAGACTATTAACTCATTCACTGCCATTGACGTCTATAGCCGTCAATTGCAGTGAATGAGTCAATGGGTTTAACTCATTCACTGCCAATGGCTGGCAGTGAATGAGTTAATAAGACCGTGTGCCCTTTCTGAAGATTTTTGGTGGTTCGGGCTGATGGGTGGGTTAACGATGGGAAATATCAGCTTCTTTCGTTCGTGGAAACTAACACGTTGAGATTAAGTACACAAAAACCAATTATATGCATAGTTTTTTGGCAAAATGTCTTATCGAGTAGTTTACTAAGCGTATCTTGTTAATCATCATACAAAACATGTACACACTTTGGAGAGAATGCTTTTAATACATTCATTTTTCCTACAGACAAATACTTTAGATTAGAAAAACTGATTTTAAATTAGGACTACCTACTTGGTTACTACATTAAAAACATTTTCAAATAAAAGAGATATATTCACAAAAAAGTAACACCTTAAAATAACCATCACTTGTGACCTGATATTGTGTAATGTTTAATTAACTTACCATCAAACAACGTAATGGCTGTTATTTACAAGATTCTTTTATTTATCACACAAATTAATCATAAAATACTGCTGTTTAATCAAACCCGCTGGTGCGCGTTTGGTGCTTAAACTGAACCAAACTGCCAGCAAAGCAAAAACCAGGATGTTGGAGATGCTGAAAACAAAACCAAATTGCCAGTGAAGCAGGAAAATGTACGACCTCCATATTTACAGTCTACAGCGTTTACTCCATCGACATCTCACTTGCCTACTTACTCTGTAAAACAACTAGTATAAACATTTCAGACTTTACAATTGCCATCCAGATGACTGTTTACATACATGTTAAGTTCACAGCTTAACAGAATCATAAAGTTTAATTATCAATTAATCATTCAATTGATGGTTATTATAAAGTGTTACAAAAAAGGCTTAATTACTCCTATACTGACAGTTTAAAAAAAAAAAAAAAAAAGTTGAAATGAAAGCAGCTATTTTACACAGAACAGAGGCACCAAGAGCAATTACAGATGTCACATTATCTGCACTTGGCTTAAAGTACAGCATTTCAGAGGTGGGCTATGGAGCGGCCTCTGTGTTGAATGGTGCGCTTATTTTTGCAAGCTTGGAATAGCAATAAGTCACACCTTTGGTCAATTTGAGTAGTTCAAGTCAGGGCAAAAGCCTACAACCCCACAAAAAGGGTGCAGTCAGAGAGAGGCCAGTCCCATCATCCACCTCGCACTCTTTTCCACCCGTTACATCAGCGGCAGCTCAGATCTGCTTCACTGTTAAAAATCTGATACTCGAGGGTCTCCCTGGAGATTTCAGAACCCTAGTGCAGGTTTTGAGGAAATTTACCACTATATAGAACTTCTATAAAAATCACAGATGTTTAAAATTGGAGGTTTTGTGTGCTGGCTGGACAATGGGACTGAGCCACAGAGAGTATCTAGGAGGAGGCTCTCTTCTCCTCATATGGAGACTCATACACCTCCATGGGTGGGCAGGTGCACATGAGGTTCTGGTCGCCATAGATGTCATCGATCCTGGAGATGCTTGGCCAGAATTTGGTCTCAGGTTTTATGAAGGGCTGTGAAGAAGGGAGAAAAGAGGGGTCAAAAAATTCAAACAATACATTTATACAAAGCTCATTTCAAGTAGCTGGCTTTGCATTAAATGTAAACAGTCAAACCCCATTACTAATGTTGACCAAATCAGGGCATCAATAACTCAATTAAAACCAAAACTCTATTGCCAAGTAATCTGAAAAAGTTGTTGGCTACAGGACATTAGACAAATTACACTTCTTATTTTTCACCACTAGAGGGCGATAAATACAAGTTCTTTAAACAGTACAGCTGCTTTCACAGAGTTTGACTTTCCCAAAAGTAACAGGAATTTCATATTATGCATTTTTTCCTGCAACAAAGGAAACATAATTGAAGTTTTTTTTTTTAAATTTAATAAAGGAGAAAAATTTACAATATGCGTTGCATATTAAGTCAGTTGTAGTCATTTTGCTAATTTTAAGAATGCAGGAATCAAAATCAAAGACAAAGAATTAAAACTTGATCTTTGGCTCTGCAAAAACTAAAGTTGGAGTGTGGGGCATCGAATAAGTCTAATGGGATAAAGGTACTCACCAAGGGGAAGGCAGCACACTCCCTGGAGTAGGGTCTGTCCCAGCTGGATGTTGAGATGCACGCCAAAGAGTGAGGGGCCATCTGCGCGCAGGCACAAAGACATACACTTGCATGACAACTTCAGATATCACAGCTTTATATTAACCACTGTATGGTATGTTTTCAGCACAGAAACCTTAAGTGGGTTGATGCGCGAGTCCATCCTTCCCTCCTCGATTTCTGCGATCTCCTGTCTGATGGCTAGCAGGGCGTCGCAGAAACGGTCCATCTCAGCCTTGTCTTCCGATTCTGTAGGCTCAATCATAAGAGTGCCTGCCACTGGCCAAGACATAGTGGGTGCATGGAAACCTAGACACAAATAGTAGAGAAGAAAATATATACTACTACAATAATAAACAATAGGTATCAATATGCATCGGATAAAAATTATGAAAGGGAAATTTATATATTGATCAGCCTACCATAATCCTGCAGCCTCTTGGCCACGTCAACAGCCTCAATATTAGCAGTCTTCTTGAATGGCCTCACGTCCAGAATGAACTCATGGGCTACAAAACCTGTGCACAAAAAGAAGGAGGGGGAAAAAAAGATAAAGTTAGTTATGCGGTTTTATTCATTTTAAAATGAGAGTACATCACTACACGTCCACAGAGACTGCACCATACCTTTCCTGCCTCTGTAAAGGATTTTATAGTGACCTTCCAGCCTCTTGGCCATGTAGTTGGCATTAAGGATGGCCACTTCTGTAGCGTGCCGCAGTCCCCTGGATCCCATCATCTAAACACCAAAACAGAATTAAAGCATCTGGGCTTCAAAATGCCCAATGTTCAAAAGAACATTTTATTACAGCTTTAATATAACATTTTTCTTTATTAGCAGTATTAGCACTCTGTCCAACAACTGCCCCTCTTTTTTGCTTTTCTTTTTATATAATGTGCATATTTCCTCCACCTGCTGGTAAACAGGGTGGAGTTTGGGTGGTGGGCTGCTGCCTCAAAATGTATCAGCTATGTAGAGTAGCTGTTAAAGTTAATGACTTTCTTTCCCAGGATGTTTATCACAAATTAACACTTTTGTTCATGTTGTCTTAAGTTGAAATGAGAGCCAGGTGACCAACTACTCATGTGACAAAAACAGAGCCCAGGAAGTTTTCAATGACTTGTGACTGTAGACTTAAAAAAATCACACACTGTTAAGTAACAGTTTGAAACATATTGGTAAGCTCGTTTCCACTAATCTGTTGGCATGTTTGAATGTGGTCTCAACTCAATTTATCTGTGCTGACCTTAATGTAAGCCCAGGAGATTGGCAGGATGGCACTGGAGCCCCAGGGAGCTGCGCTGATGGTGCCCAGTGAGCTGCTGATGTTCACTGACTGCATGGAAACCACCGGGTGGCTCGGTAAGAAGGGGGCAAGGTGCGCCTTCCTGATAAGAAATAGATGAATATACTGTTGGGTCAGAGAATCATCACAAAATAAGAACAAAAAAAAAATTCTTTTTATAAACAAATTCACATCAAACTAGTCACCATTTCTCCCTTTATATCCACTGACTTACACTCCAATTGGCCCCATGCCGGGCCCTCCTCCACCGTGAGGGATGCAGAAGGTTTTGTGCAGGTTTAGGTGAGAAACATCCGACCCGTAATCTCCAGGACGACACAAGCCAACCTTCAAGGCAGAGCAAGAACAAATTTTTTTTATTTAAATTAAATATTCTACAGAAAAACTTGCAAAAAAAACTGATATAAGCTCAGTCTTCACCCTTTTACAAAAAACAGATACAGTGGGATGCAAAAGTTTGGGCAACCTTGTTAATAGTCATTATTTTCCCGTATAAATCGTTTGTTGTTACAATAAAAAATGTCAGTTAAATATATCATACAGGAGACACACAGTGATATTTGAGAAGTGAAATGAAGTTTATTGGATTTACAGAAAGTGTGCAACAATTGTTTAAACAAAATCAGGCAGTTGCATAAATTTGGGCACTGTTGTCATTTTATTGATTCCAAAACCTTTAGAACTAATTACTGGAACTCAAATTGGCTTGGTAAACTCAGTGACCCCTGACCTACACACACAGGTGAATCCAATAAAGAGAAAGAGTATTTAAGGGGGTCAATTGTAAGTTTTCCTCCTCTTTTAATTTTCTCTGAAGAGTAGCAACATGGGGGTCTCAAAAACAACTCAAATGACCTGGAGACAAAGATTGCTCACCATCATGGTTTAGGGGAAGGATACAGAGAGCTGTCTCAGAGATTTAAGCTGTCTGTTTCCATAGTTAGGAACATATTGAGAAAATGGAAGACCACAGGCTCAGTTCAAGTTAAGGCTCGAAGTGGCAGACCAAGAAAAATCTCGGATACACAGAAGCGACGACTGGTGAGAACAGTTAGAGTCAACCCACAGACCAGCACCAAAGACCTACAACATCATCTTGCAGCAGATGGAGTCACTGTGCATCGTTCAACCATTCGGCACACTTTACACAAAGATGCTGCATGCGAGAGTGATGCAGAGGAAGCCTTTTCTCTGCCCACAGCACAAACAGAGCCGCTTGAGGTTTGCTAAAGCACATTTGGACAAGCCAGCTTCATTGTGGAATAAGGTGCTGTGGACTGATGAAACTAAAATTGAGTTATTTGGGCATAACAAGGGGCGTTATGCATGGAGGAAAAAGAACACAGCATTCCAAGAAAAACACCTGCTACCTACAGTAAAATATGGTGGTGGTTCCATCATGCTGTGGGGCTGTGTGGCCAGTGCAGGGACTGGGAATCTTGTCAAAGTTGAGGGACACATGGATTCCACTCAGTATCAGCAGATTCTGGAGACCAATGTCCAGGAATCAGTGACAAAGCTGAAGCTGCGCCGGGGCTGGATCTTTCAACAAGACAACGACCCGAAAAACTGCTCAAAATCCCCTAAGGCATTCATGCCGAGGAACAAGTACAGCGTTCTGGAACGGTCATCTCAGTCCCCAGACCTGAATATTATTGAAAATCTGTGGTGTGAGTTAAAGACAGCTGTCCATGCTCGGAAGCCATCAAACCTGAATGAACTAGAGATATTATGTAAAGAGCAATGGTCCAAAATACCTTCAACCACAATCCAGACTCTCATTGGAACCTACAGGAAGCGTTTAGAGGCTGTAATTTCTGCAAAAGGCGGATCTACTAAATATTTATTTCATTACTTTTTTTTTATGGTGCCCAAATTTATGCAACTGCCTGATTTTGTTTAAACAATTATTGCACATTTTCTGTAAAACCAATAAACTTCAATTTACTTCTCAAATATCACTGTGTGTGTTTCATTTATCTATGTATGCATGCATAACATTTTTTATTGTAACCACCAACGATTTATACAGGAAAATAAGGACTTAACAAGGTTGCCCAAACTTTTGCATCCCACTGTACTTGCTGTATTACCTGGGCATTCATGTTGGCGCCATCCAGGTACACTTGGCCACCGTTTTTGTGAATAAGGTCACAAACGTCTCCGACATGCTCTTCAAACACACCAAAGGTGGAGGGGTAGGTGATCATCATGGCTGCCAGGTTTGCCTTGTGTTTGTCCACCTGGAAAGATAAAACATGTAAAAAAAATAAAATAAAAATTAAAAAAAAAAATTATTATTAAATAAATAAATGAATAAATATATATAATTAAAAAATAAACAAAAAAAAAAAGTTGTGTCACATCATTTACATGAAGTCAAAGTTCCAGTCTTTCATGAACACACTTGGATTAATGAACACATTTGGATTAAAGTGAGGATCGACTTAAGACCAGAGGCATCAAAAGAGCTTGTTTCACAGAGTGAAGGATTGCATGAGTTTACAATAAATGAGGATTAGTTTGAGCTGTGAGTCGTGCAGAGCAAAAATACTCCAAAAACTAGATTCCCTTCAAATCCACCTATGAAACTGGACATGTCTGTCTTGGATAAACCTAATATTAATTAATATTTGCAGACAACACAAATCTTGTACAACAGCGTCCGTTTTCTCACCAGGGCCTTCAGGTGAGACAGATCGATGTTGCCATCCTTATCCACCTCCACCACTTGAACCTTCATTCCTGCCATCTGAGCGCTTGCTGGGTTGGTCCCGTGTGCAGACTTGGGGATTAGACAAACCTGAGGCAATGGGAAAAATAGTCAGCAAAGCAGAACAAGCAAAATGCAGCTTGAGTCATTGTCCTAACCATAATCCAAAGTCACGCCAAAACTGCTGTGACTGCAGGTTATGCAACAAGAGAAACCGAGCCAATTAAAGCCATAGGTATTTCAGATCCAAAGTGAAGCTCAATTAAATAAAAACAAAAATAGATATAATTAAATTAGTGAGACTGGTGGCTTAAGCTACTTTTACAATATCATTTATACAAAAACTTAACTTTTAAGGTCTCAGTGGGAGGAAACTGCAGCTCTCTTTGATCTCTGCTACTAATGAGTAACCTGCCTGCAGGTCATTAACTGATTTTTATCCCTTATTAGGGTGACACGTCTGGCATTTTGCAACCCAGTTTCACAGGCAAACCAGGGCACATGGATCCGGTGTTAGCCAAAAAAGACATGACTGACCTGAAAAACAGTGCTGTGCTGTCACTCCAGGAACTCTCACTTGACAAAGTCTTAAAACCTCCAAATATGGAGTCTTAAAAAACAGCTAGCCTATGGGATCACAGCATTTTCAGCTCCTTGTTTGCACAAACAGATGCCAGTTTGGACCTTGACTAGTTCCAGGAATCAGGCTACTAAGATTTACTTATTAGGAAGCAATAAAAATAATAAAATGACAAGAGAAAATACTTCAGTACGCTAGTCTTTAATTTTGGGTAGCATCTCATCATCCTTCAACAATCAATAAGAATGTCAGGATACTTTAGGAGCTACTGTTGAGCATGCTTTAACATCACAGATGTTTCAATTTACAACAATAACCCTGTCACTGATGGGGGGGTTACCCTGTAGGGCATATGTGCTAATACTCTGTTAGCCTGTCAGTATCAGGAAGGATAATACTGATAGTAAATAGTCAGCAAAGTCTTCTCAATGTCACCTGATTAGATACACCAACAGCTAAACATTGATAACTTAGTTGCCATATGAAGTTCTGCTCAAACCTTTGGCACTCATTTGAATGTTGCTTTGATGCATACCATCTGCTTATATATTGTTGCAGACCAAGCGCACCTCAAACGGCAATAGCTCTCCCAATGACAGGAGCATAGTTACTAGGACACTGCAAAAACTGCTCAGGAAAAAGGAAAACGTCAGAAGCAGCTGCTCTCAAAAATTCAAGCTCTGCATGCACAGACCAAGCCTGATCCATGGACATGTCACCCTGGACCCCACAGGACCCAAAGAATCTGCCATCCTAGTGCCAGTTGCAAAAGGATTCCTCTGAACTGATAGAAAAACACTTGCCAAGCATTGTGCACTCCGCCCGCCTTTACGTCACCCCAAAAAAAAGAAGAACTGCACAATGCCAGGGCAGCAACTTTAATGTTGTGGCTAAACAGTGTATATTTGTAAGCACTTTAATTGAAAATGAAACTTAGAAACTCAAAGTTTGTGTACATCCAGGTATTTTTTTTTTTTTAAAGTTCAGTGGATCATCATTTTAACTTTAGAGTTTTCAGAAGATGAGGCTCTTCCTCAGAGTCACACAAGTTTAAATTAAAAAGGACTCCATTTTCTTGCAGAGACTAGAGAATCTAGCTTAAAATAATTTTGGGTTGGATAAAATAACATAATTAACCATGACTGCAATCCTGTTAGACTTTTGCTCTTTCCAGGACACTTACACTTCTTGAACTCTCCCCCTTTGAGTTCAGGTAGGCTTTTATGGCAGCCAGGCCTGCATATTCTCCCTGAGCACCACTGAAAAATAAGGCAGACACCATAGTCATGCATAGAACACACACAGCCTCATCAAAGTCCAAAGACCAGTCTGCAGACATTACCAAAAGAGGAGGGAAAGATGGGATGAAGCTAGGTGCATTCTTGGCCAATGTAGCATGCGCCACCATGAACACACTGATAAGCAGTGACAGAGAGCAGAGGTGGGTGTGTCGCTTATCAGCTGTAATATCCTGCAAGTTAATCCTGCAAGTTAATCCTGCAAGTGTGAAACCAGCTATGCACCGCTTTAATAATGTTGCTGAGATTCCCCTTTAAAAGTCGATTGCGAAATTTCTTCCCTTTTAGATTTTCCACAAACTTTTGTGTTGCAAAGGCGCCATCCCCATCCTACGTTCAGCACCACTCTCCAATTCAGTGAGCTCTCTGAAATAACAGTTCTTTCACAAATGTTTGTAAAGGAAAACTGTATTGCTAAGTGCTTGCTTTGAGCATTTCCTTCCTTCTGCAGAGGTTCTATGATCCAGAAGGAGGGTTCGGGATAATTTGATTGCACTGCACGGAACCATCAAAGTAATCATCCTAAAGAGGAACATGCTCCCGTCTTTACCAAATATCATGCCCACACAACTGATACGGTCTGTGCACCAACAAGTACATAATTTTGTGCCCTCACCTGTTTGGCTGGAACGAGATCTTGTCATAGCCTGTCACCTCACAGAGGTCTTTCTCCAGCTGTCTGAAGAGTTTCTGGTAGCCCTCTGCCTGATCCAGGGGCACGAAAGGATGGATGTTGGCAAACTCCCTCCATGTGATGGGCTGTCAGAGGATACAGCAGTGAGACATAATTACTCAAAAGCATTTCATGTTACACCTGAAGAAAACTGAAAAACTAGTTCCTGTTTTTACTCACCATGAGCTCTGATGAGCTGTTTAGCTTCATGGTACAGGAGCCCTGAAAATAAAAACTTTTTTTTTTCCCCACTACTTTATCACACTAGTATAAAGCATGCTATAAATTTCAACTATCTGTGAACCTGAACCTCTGCCTTGACTTATGGTAGCCTCACCAGGGGTATCATGCTGTGGACTAAGGAGAGGTCCTTATTCTCCAGACGCTTCATATATCTCACAATGTTGGTCTCAGAATGGTAACTGAAGGAAAAAACAAGAAGCAGAGACACAAACACTTAACAGAGGGCTCGCATGGCAATAACGCTATGTTTTGGATCTTGGACATGCAGCAGCCAACCAAGACTGCTCCAGAAACACCGCAAATACCCTAAAGCACCGACTCTCCAAATTTCCACATCCCAAACACATCAATCATACAAGCGACACGTTGGGTTCAGTTCATACCACAACCTCTTTAAAAGGGATAAATTACAAAAGTAAGGTTAAAAATTCTCATGCATTACTGCTTTCATTGATCAGGCAGTAAGAGTTCAACATGGGTATCGTCTTTGGAGTTGTTACACCCTTAGAATATGGTCAATCCAAAGTGGCCCCACCCCACTGCTAACAATAATCTAATAGCTCAATATTAGGGAGATGGTCAAAATGTTGTGGCTGATCTATGCACACACTACCTAAGGTTAACTAAAAGTTTTACCCTCTTTATGTCAAGGATCATGTCAAAGAATAAACGTAGGGCTCAGACACAGGAAGCCTGGATACAAGACTGCATTTATGGAACTACTGGTGTTGTAAGATATGACTGCAACACCATTAAAGTTCTTATTGTGCAGTTAATCAAAGGTTATTACAGCCAAAATGCTACACACACACACACACACCACACACACTCCCCCCCCCCCCCCCCATTGGGAACAGTACAGTCCTTAAACTGGGAACAGACCTGTTGAAGACCTGGTGTGTAAGGTATTTGCTTGTCCTCTTGAAAGGACTTCCCATGATCCCCTTCACCCGCTCGCCCATCTTTTCAGCTATCAGCTCCTGAAAGGTTCAAATTAAAGCCAAGTCACTCTCTCACCAATCTCCATAACCATAAAACAATAACTGCTTAAATTAAAAACCAGTAACATATTAAGTAATGAATAACTTAGACAGCACAAACAAACAACGGAAGTAACCAACAACATACAGCAGAAGATTCACAGCCAAAGACCCAGAGCAAGTCATCCAAATCCCTCTCAGTCACCGTTTCATCGAGAGAGACGCCCAACTGTTCAAAGAGAAGACGAAAAGAGGATTTTTTTTTTTTAAGTGTTCCAGCGACTCAAGTCTTTCACCCTAAACAGTTTAAAAAAAAAAAAAAAAAAAAGGTGAAAACTTGAGGCTAGCACTTGTTCTGACAGCTTATCTATAACAAACAGTGGGTTTGTTTGCAATCAGTGAAATTGAAAATTTGTACTGCAGAAAAGTTAATTAGGAAACATTGACACTGATCTCAGGAATGCCAAGTGATTTATGTATCGATCCATTCATTATACATTACATGTATCATTTGTAGATTTGTCAACATGTTTAAACCAATGAACCTGCTGTTATGCACGCCTATATTTTGGCTCTTCCTGTATGAGAGAGGAAGTGTGTTACACTAGCTAAAAAGTCACATCCACTCTTACAAAGTTTAAATTGGATTCACTGGTTCTTGATCCTCTCAAGAATTCTCTTTTGCACCCAACATTTTTCCCCACATGTCCAATTACAGGATTTTTCATCTTATCCAGTTTTAGATCTAATTAATGTGCTAAACTCCCCTTCATCCCTATAAGCCATATTCAGAGTTTTCTAGGAGCTACAACAATCAGTTGCTTCTGGGCAAAGATCCCCTATCCCCTCCCATTTCAGCCTGAAAACTACTGCAGGAAGAAAAAAAATTAAAAAAAAAAAGGAAAAAAAAAAATGTTTCTGCATATACATGAGGCAGCATTAATTTCCACTCCTTTTTTGCAGTGCACCAATTACAAAGCATTATCCAAAAACTGCAAGTCGCTCCACTTCTGCAGGCTTAGACCACCTTAATCAGTCTAGCGCTTCCCCCAAAACATTTTTTGATCCTCACCACTCCATCGGCGTAGACTCGCAGGTTTATCTTCCTCTGCTCAGCTCTCTCCAGGATATCTTTGGCAGCCACGCTACAGCTGATCTTTAGTGTGTCAAAGAACATTTCGCTCTGCAGCCGGTGTCCCGCTCTCTTCAGACCTGAAAGAAAATGTACGAATTAACTGTGCACGGCATGTTTACGGGGAGAAGTTTGGATAAAGACAAAGAACAGAAATTTGGTGACATATTTGTCTATCCAGTCTTTAATCACTCATTACTGAGAACGTGCACAAAGTAAAATGAGAAATTCGCAGTTCACAAGGAGGAAAGCATTTTTTTTTTTTTTAAATAAACAATTTCTCAATTTGAGTGAGGACTGAAGTTTTACTGCATTGTTGCATATATATTTATATACCTTCTGCAAGGATCAAAGCAGCACCATGTGTCCTCTTCGCAATGTGTTTTAGTCCCTGGGGGCCATGATACAGTGCATACATAGCAGCCATATTGGCCAGCAGAGCCTAGGAAAACAGTAATTTTTTGTAATTAATTTAGAGTAATGCATTTCACCAAAATGAAGGACTCATAAACCTGGATCGTACCTGCGCAGTGCAAATGTTGCTGGTTGCCTTATCTCTGCGGATGTGCTGCTCTCTGGTCTGCAGTGCAAGACGATACACTTCTTTACCAGCTGCATCTCTGCAACAACAGCATAGCATTCAACCATCTTACTACTGTCATCAGTTTACTCAGAAATGAAGATTAGGAATCTTGAACCCTGAAGGTAGCTTCTCACTTTGTGACTCCAACCATTCTGCCAGGCATCATCCGGACCAGGTTTTCTCTAACCGCAAAAAAGGCAGCATGTGGACCGCCGTAGCAAAGAGGAACCCCAAACCGCTGGGAACTGCCCAGTGCGATATCAACACCAAATTCTCCAGGGGGACGTAGCACACACAGTGCCAATAGGTCTGTGGCACAGCAAGCCAGGGCCTGGACAGGAGATAAAAACCAATCTCAGCAGTGGAAATGAACAAAGATGTTCCCATTTGTTATTAAGATCATTCTTAAGCCTAATTATAGCCCCTGCTCCCACGGTTCTTTTGGGGAGCTTTTACATTTCTTTTTGTGGTTAAAGCTTTCTTACCCCGCCCTTGTGTGCTCGATCTACGAGCGCAGTGAAGTCTTCCACTCTGCCATCAGTGTCTGGATATTGAAACAGCACACCGCTCACATCTTGTCCACTGAAGTCCATCTCATGAGGCAGCTTTAGAATCGTTTTTACCCCAATATAGCTGCAACACAGCAGTCAAAACTTGAATGATCAAAATACAGACACAGGATGCAATCAAACTTGCGCCCAAATTTAAAAAAATAAAAAAATAAAAAAATCCAAATACCCCCAATTTAAATTCCACTTCAAGGTAGTATTTTCGTGCAGTTCTGGACCACTTCAAGTAGCCCTGCAGCTACATTTCAAACTCCCCGTTCAGGTCTGAACACTTGGATGAGCAAACTTTGTCTTGTGTGTAAAAGTCACACAACATTGACGTAGACAATCATCGTTAGCGATGACGCAAGGCTCCATCAATTCAAAAACGGAACAGTGAAACAGCCAGCGTCTAAGACTAAATGCAATGCATCAGGTCAGGAAACACCACCAAGGCCACATCCTGACCTCAACTGGGATGTGTTCCAGGGTGCAACCGCTCACCGGCAGCATGAAATACCACTGTTGCACATCACCAAGCCTTCTTGCCAGGTTTGGCACCCTGCCACTTTGTCCTCTTCCCCAGAATAAAATTAACTTAACGGGCTGTCATTTTGTCAGCATGAAGACGATCCAGGACACACTGCAAAAACAAGTAAATGTAGCAGGAGAGCTGACGTGGTCCAGGGTGCACAAAGACAGAACCCCGAGGAGGACATATGATGGCACAACAGAGAATACACCTCAGGGAATTTAAAAATAAATAAAGTTGCCTAGGACAAAACCTTTGCAATATTTTTTACTTTAATCTTGTAATTTTAATATTAAAGATATTTAGATTCTTTTTTATGATTTACTGTTACTGGAGACCTCATACATTGACTGTCTATGATGCATACTTAGCTCTGGTCTGCACTACAGCAATAGTCTGGGGATGGCAGCGTGGGTCAACGTAGAAGGTTCTTCTTTTGTTTTGTCTGTGAGAAGCAAATATCAATAACAGACCACTGTAAGGCAGGTTTAATACACACACTACATCTTGAATCTACAACAGGTGGCACAGACTACGATCCATTCTAGTGGCCAAAATATAAATTCACAAGACTATATTCAAGATCAACTGAGCACTTTTGTCTAAACTGGTCAGCATGTAAATACCTGTGACAGAGCTGCATGGCCTCAGCAGCAGCAGTTCCCTCATCAAGCAGAGAGGCGTTAGCCACAGGCATGCCTGTGATGTCACAGATCATGGTCTGGTAGTTGAGAAGAGACTCCAGGCGACCCTGAGCGACCTCAGGCTGGTAAGGGGTGTACTGAGTGACCCTGTGAACAAAACCCAAAACAATGATTCAACAGAGCGAGACTGGACAGAAGAACAATGGCACAAAGTCAATGGCATTTATGGACCCAAGACTGGTCAGGGGAGGCCATTGTATGTCTTCTCTGACCCTAAGAGTTTAGAGAAAATGTGGGTCAGAATAGCTGACTTGGAACTGTGTGAAAGGAAATTTTGTTCAGCAAAACATTGGAGCAATGCAGTTCTCACAAGACCCCAAGTGAAATCAAATCACAAGACTTCTTATTGAGGGCACGTTACTCTGCACCATGACAGTTAAGCTTCAAATTAGTATCCCAAATTTAGGAATAAATATCATTAATTGTCCACAGAAGAAACCAGCTCACACCACTTTTGTCACATTTCTTCCGATCCAAGGTAGCCTGACGGCACTCACCAGCCTGCATTCTCCAGGAGGTTGCGCTGGATGGGCGGCGGTACGGAGCAGTTGTAGTAACCCATGCCGATGTAAGACCTCCATACTTTGTTTTTTGATGCAATCTTTTGAAGGGACTCCAGAACTTCATTCTCACCTGCAAAATATTTAAAAGGCAGCTGTTTAAACTTATTCCAAACAGTCACTGAGTCATAAGTGAGAAATACAGGATGTTGGTAAGTGTTAAAACAGTTCTACTTAAATTACATCATGTGATACATCTGTCATGTCTGCTGCTAAACAACAACAACAACACCACCACCACCTCCTGTCTGAAGGTCTGATGAACAGCATTGCAACCCTCACGTGAGCCACTGATTGTGTAACAAGATGAAGATATCATTATAGTGATCAGTCAGGTGGTCTAAATAGTTAAAAAGAAATAGTCAGTGAAATCCAATGCTAATCTGTTTTCTACTGAGAGCCTCAACCATCTTTTTCATATCACTAATAACATAAAATTTTAATACTGAGAGAAATATATCTTATGTTCCCTAAAAACTGGCCCCCAAAATCTAGTACATATTGCTACTTCCTCAATTTCATTAAGCTTCATTTCCCAGTCCTGTAAGGGAGCCCTGCCAGGACACAACCAGCCTCTGAGATTCCTCTGGCCTTTCTGGCTGCCTAGCAACTCCAAGGAATGGACAATACCACCCGTTTGAACCAAGAGTCCTGGCTACTCCCGTTTTGGTGAAAGGAGGACACCTCTAGTCGTGGTGGCGTGAGGGACCACAGCCAGTATACAAGTGAATATTTACAGCTTCTTTGAAAGATGATTTGGGGGGGGGGGGGGGCAGAAGTATTTGGAAATTCAGGACAAACTATAAATAAAAGTACATTTGGAGATGACGCTCAGGGTGAGTTGATGAGACGTGCGAACCGGAGTTCGTTTCAGTTGGAGGACTGCTTTCCCATGGTCCCAGAGTTCTACAGGGCAGCAAAAAAAGCTGATTCACAACCATCCAGGAGGTCTATTGTTGAAGAGAGAATCCTTTGCTGGCTTTGCAAACTGAAGCCCTTCAAAGCTGAACAAGCAGAAAACCAGCACGGCCTCCAGTTTGTTCCTTCAGCATGGCTTGTTGCATTATGAAAACTGAGTGTCAGGAGGGGCTGACATACAGGCAGGTCAGCGTCACTCTGGCTAATAGACACGTTAGAGTACCTGAGCATAAGAAACCTCTTATAAAGATCCTTTTATTACTATAAATGTTAAATTTAGAAAAACTGTCATGACTTGGCTCTTTCGACTCTGCATAAAGAGCTCAGTCATCATTCATTGCAAGTGTCAAGGTTTTAGACATGCCTCATTTCAGTAGCCTGGCATTAAGTTGGGTGCAATTCAATTTCACCATTTATTGACGCCAATTAAGACTTTGAGCCAATACACATTGGTCTGTTTTGATTGCCGGATTGCATGCCCCCCCCCCTTTTTTTTCCCCCCTCATAATTGATTGAACATCAAATCATTTTTATGCTTATCCAAGTTCATAAGCATACAGTCATGGTAAAAGCAAAGTACTCTCTCTTTCGGTTTTACATATCAGGACATTACAATGTCTTAAAGAAATTAGGACATGTTTTTGCAGCCACATGACCCGGGCACCTTGCAGTCAGATTCGACCTTCAACTCCTCTGTATACCTAAGTATTCTGGAGTCAAATGTGAGGCCATCTGTCCAACAGCTAAAGCTTGACTGAAACTGGGTCATACAACAGGACAATGATCCCAAGCACAGCAGAAAATCTACAACAGAATCTCTAAAGAAAAAAAAGAAAGGGGTAGGGGGGGAAATCAAGGTGTTGCAATGGCCTAGTCAAAGTCCAGACCTCAACCTGATTGATATGCTGAATGGAAGTACCTTCAGAGAGCTGTTCATAAATGAAACCTCAACAACCTGAAGCAATGCCGTAAAGAAGAGTGGGCCCAAATTCCTCCACAATGAGGAGAGAGATTGAAACGATTACTAAAAAGTTATCGCTGCTAAAGGTAGTTAAATTACACTTTGTTTGTCACCAACTGCTTCTGCATTTTAGTTTTTGCTAAACATCTAAAGACATTGTGTGATATGTCATGTTCATCAGGGGTTGTATCTGTCTAATTTGATGACCTGAGGTCTGTACTGTGAAGCAGGATTTCATGTCATCCAGGTAACTTCAGCATTGAATCTGGATTTTCTGTATTAAGAATGTCATTCTTAGCAGGGTGAGCCATATCTGTGAAACCATGGTAACTTATGCTGCTTTTTTATTTATACATGTAATGTTTTTAATCTCCTGTCTCTCCAGCCCTATTTTTGCACATTTGATAGTGACAGGCCTACTTCACAAAACAAACTGAGCAAAAATACAGCTCCACATGAAAATACACGTTAATTCACACAGAAAGCCATCAGCTTAGAGCTGAAAAAGCCGCAGCTTAAAAAGCGTTAAAAAGATTGACTGCTGTATAGGATTAAACACAGCAGTCTGTGTCTGCTGCTGAAATGTAGGCTATCCGTGTTGTATAGGAGAAAGAAAAAAAAAACCCATCCATGCATCATCATGAAACCACCTTATTAGGATCCCCGGCTGTGATGTAACGTAACGTGAACGCTGTAACCAGATTGAACTGGACTTGGGACCGGAGCTCAAGGCTAAACTTTACACTCCAGTTGCCATCCTATGAGCATCGGCTTCCCAACAGGAGATTGGTGCCGCTCGCCGAGTTTCGCAAAAACAACTCCAAATATGTTCAAAGGAAGACTTAACAGGGAAGAGCGCTCCGCGCCACACAATAGAAGGGCAACCTACATTTCAGCCTCTCACTTGGCTTCATCGAGCGCCCGTTGGGTGTGGGAAAAGCTCGACATGTTTTTAAAAAAAATTAATTAAAATTTGAAATAAAGCGGCACAATATGAGGTTAACACTCATTCCCCCTCCACACACACTTATTTGAATTACATTTACAATTTGAAATTGAGATTGAGATTGGTGGCGCATCGAGGGAGATTTAGGCAGCAGCTTGCAGCGCTATAATAACAGAAAGAGATTCAGCTACTGTTTCACTAACACATACGTGCACATCAGGCCAAACTTACAGACTGGATCATCCATCTTCAAGCTCCTCTGCAGACGGATAGAAGATGGTACTGTGTTTTCAATCAACTGGTCGACTGACTGTAGGAAAAAGGGAAGTTTAATGAACAAAGGCGCGTAAACCGCTACCCAGTGACATAAACACGCCACTCAGTGCAGGTGTTTTTGTGCTGAAACTTGTCTTAATGAAAATGAAAGGAGTGTTTTTTTTTTGCGCCCATTTCATAGAGGGAGGGAAACAGCGACGTAAATCTTACCTCGAGTCCCAGAACATCCAGCATGTCTCTCTTCTCCTTCTCACCTGGACCGATGTGGCGCTCAGCAAAATCATCATGTCTGGGTAAAATCCTTTCTATCTGCCTGGAGGAGACGGCTGCAGAGGTCCTCAGAGCCCGGGCTGATGTTGTTAGGGATGCGCAGCTGTTTCGGATCTTGCACTGAAGTTTCCAAACCACGCGGCTCTTATCGCTCAAATGCCTGCGCGGTGCGCCGGGATTCACCGACTTGGCCAAAAAGACCCCCCAGGACTTGGCGCAGCTCTGCATCTCTAAATCACACTGCGAGACAAGCGTGCAGAAACTGGTGAAGCCTTTCCCTCCCTTAACTCAGTAGACTTTCCACCCACTGAGACCGGCGCAGGAGATACAGCCAACTCCTTCAAACTGCTGAGTTTATACGGCTGCACAGTTGCACAAGAGCGGACCAATCAGAGCGGAGACGCTGCGTGACGCGGTGACGAGCCCCGGCTAACCAGCTGCTCAACTTTTCACGTGCCCATAATCTTCAATTGAGCAAGAATAATAAGGTTGGGTATGGATCCAGAATTATTTCATCAGTCGACCCGCCAAGAATACAGACAAACTAGGAACAGGACGTGCTGTGAGTGCAAGTGGTTACACCTGAACTTTAAACACACGTTATTTGTGTTTTCCAGTTTCACAAACAAAGCCATAACCTGTGAGATGAAAACATGCCAATAAATCGTTGTTTAAAGACAGATAAAAAATAATCTGTAATAAAACAACTTAATCCACAACAGCTCAATAAATAGAATAAACACACAAGTAACTAAAAGAAATTACACAGAATAAAGATATTTCAGGTAAAGAAACACTCAAGGAGCTCAATAAGCTAATTGAGTGAAAAATCTTTATAAAAGGAAATGAAAAGCTATGGGAAAAGTGAATACACTGTAATAAAGTGGGTCTATAAGATAGACAGTTTAAAAAATCAGTAAAGTCAAATAAAATTATTAGAAACTGGCTTATTAAATTAGTTAAAACACACTCACAGCAAATGTCAGATGATATTAAAGTGTCTCCGCAGCTGTTTCAGATCTTGAACGTAAGTTTCCAAACCACACAGGTCTTATCTCAGTGGTGAACGCTGTCGCTCTATTCTGTGTAGATGACTCTGGGAAATATAATCTGTACACCCTTTGGTGACTTTGCAGGGATAAAATAAACTACATAAGAGAGCAGATTATTCTCTGCTGTGCTGTAAAGAGTTCTTGCATGTGGTTATTATAGATTGCTGCCTGTCCAGTCAGTGATGCAGAGAGTCGATAGCTGTTCTTCTCACCACAGCTTCAGTTGAGCTCTGATCGGTTTACTTATTTCTCTCACACACACTACTTCCTGGTGAGTCATTCAGACTTGTTTTACCTGTTACTGCCATCTCTGATTTGCAAATTTCATATTTTAAAATAGGGGTGGAAAATATGTTAATCGTTCAAAAATATAATTCACAAGTCAAAAGCATGGTGGTGCCTCACAGCAAGAAGACCCAGGGTTCAAGTCCACTGGCCTTCTGGGGCCCTTCTTGCGCACTTGGGCATGTTTTCAACTGGTATTAGGGCTTCTTCCCACAGTCCAAACACATGCAATGGTGGACACCCCAGCAAATTAACCCCAACATCAGTCTATGCAGTGCTTTCTCAAGAGCTACATTTCAGACTCTATAGGCCTCAGTTAGCATGTTTAATGTTAATGGAAGAATGTCTGTTGGACACACAAGACCCAAAGTGCAGAGCATGCAAAGAAGAAAAGATAAACTTTAAGTTATTGTTGTCAACTGTGGTTCTACAAGCTACTGAATCATGGAGTTTACTTTCTCACAAAACTACATAGAGTTTGGGGGAAAGTTTATCACATGTGTGTATGTGATTTAACTTGTACAATACTGCCTGCACTAAAACAAAGTTGTCATTGAAATGTGTTTTTCTAATAATAATGGATTGGATTTATATAGCGCTTTTCAAGGCACCAAAAGCGCTTTACAATGCCACTATTCATTCACTCTCACATTCACACACTGGTGGAGGCAGCTACAGCTGCCCTGGGGCAGACTGACAGAAGCGAGGCTGCCATATCGCGCCATCGGCCCCTCTGGCCAACACCAGTAGGCAAGTGTCTTGCCCAAGGACACAACGACCAGGACAGAGAGCCCAGGGATCGAACCGGCGACCTTCCGGTTACAGATGCGATTCCCAACCCCCTGAGCCACGGTCGCCCAAATAACAGGTTAAGGACAAATAAGGAGACCTTTGGTTTAATTCTGTTTGCATGTTACAGTTTTACAGCACAAGGAAATGGGTGTTGGAAAGAAGAAAACAAAAGTTAATAGTTAAGACACACTTGGCAAGCATCATGGTGATGTAGAAGGTAGATGTGGATGAAAGCATCTGAGAAAAACTAGCTTTCCAGGGTAAACTTTCCAGGTAAAATCCCCCCCTCCCCCTTCATTTTCCTTAATCTAAATAATATATAAATATAAGGTGAAACAATGCCTTCAAGGTTTCTAGTGTTATGCTAATGTGCTGCTAAGCTCCCACTGAACTGAGTTTCACTACAAGGCTCAGTGAAGATCTAGTGAAAAAACATTTGGCAGAAACTCAGATTTACAAACATCTGATTAAAAATTGATCGAATAATCTTAAAACGATAACAACAGTTATCAGTTGTGCATAATGTATTTTTGCTAAATAACTTTCTAGACCTCTAAAATTTCAAATGAATTAAACACCACTGTTTCATAGTCACAGGATGTATTAGCTTTCATCAAGTAGCAACTTGATGGTGAATCATAGTTTATTAATGCTGAGCAGTTTATATGTGAGCTTGTGCCAGCCCTTTCTAAGAAAGATGCAGGTTCAGTCTACGCAGGTTGGCAGGATATCACAGGGATATCACACGCCATAAAAACTCCCACCAAATACCAGACAGGCACAAAGTCTCACACCCACAACTACAGCCAATTCTGAAAGGGAACTTGTTAAATTCAGTTTCAAGCCTTCTTGCCTCGAGGCAACAGTCCTGACAGCTGCACTGCTAAACTCCCCAACCCTAACCCTGAACTCTAAATTACTGTTTCTTTTTTGTACCTTAACTAGTAGTATGAATATCATCCCAGCTTAATATGAGTCATAGGCTGAATAAAAGCACCAACTCACAACAGCAGTTACTACCAAACACCAGAAATCTATTTTTTTTTTTTTGCCTGTCCCGTTTGGTTCTTTTAGAATTATTGTCTAAAGGCGAAGAAAGATGCCCAGCGGATTTACTTTACCAAATGGACCATCCCAGTCTTGCCGTAATGATCTATTTGATTCATCTTTTATTGTTTATTTTATTTTTTATTTTCACTTGTTAGATACGGGACCGACTTGACTGAGGAAAAGAAAGGGGAGGATGTCTGCCAGGACAAGTAGCAGTTTAATTAAAAAATTTCTAGATGTCTAAAGGTCACCTCACCTTGAACATCTGAGACATTTGTACCATATGAAATACCACTACAGAGCCAATGATTAAAAAAAAACACCAATAGTAACAAACCAATGCTATATTTATTATATCTAAGTCATTGTGATCCACATGACCTGTGTTGTGTAATAGTGAGCCTCATAATCATTGAAATGCTTACCGCGGGAGCGCTTTAATAATGCATCATCCTGTTAATAATGCAACCCCTTAGAAACCAAACACCAAACCTCACGAGTGAAAATGCTTTCTGGTCTCCTCTCTCTGATGCTTGTGAGGACAAACACTCAACAATAGTGTCACTGAAGCAATATTTGCATAGTGTGGGTCTTACTCATGGGACTAATTGTTTTTTTGTTTGTTTTGTCTTTATCATCAGATAGACTCACTGAGATGACATTACAGGTCACAGATCTGTCTCTCTGATACCTGAAGCAAAAAGGAATCTGTTCATATACTTAAAATGATGCTCACAGGAGAAGGATGTGCTCTTTGGTGTAACATTACAATTCATGGCATAATTTTCTACTCTTTTCTTTTCCTGACTGATCTTTGTAATTTTTTCTCTCTCTCTCTCTGTTGCAAAAACAATCAACAGTAAATGATATTAAATGGAACTGCTAATATACTATGGAAGTTATGATAGTTAAGGGAATCCCAGATTAGTTTTGACCCCACTTACACAATGTACATTCCCAAATTTTGAACAGATTGTTTTATTTTATTTAATGTACTTAATGTATATAATTCACTCACTTACTGCACACAATGGCCTCTTTGTATATATTTACTTACTTACTGTATATAATGTTTTTTCTCTCTATTTTTGCACAGTCGAGGAGCGTATCAGGACACATTTCACTGAGTGTTATACTTGTGTACTAGTATGCACGTGACAAATACAAGATCTTGAATGATGCAGATTCCGACTGTTGAATTAGGAGCGAGTTCTTCAAGAGGATCAGTTGGTAGGAAAAATGTGTTCAGTCACCAATGTCAAACTTTAATACGAATTCTCATTGAGCTCATCTCAGATGTTTATCCTTTGGGCTGAAATTGCCAATTTGGCAACACGGTGGGGAGGCAACAGCCTGGATGCTGCTGTCAAAACAGTGGAGATGATTTTGGACTTCAGGAGGAACCCTGCCCCATCATCCTGACTGCCCAGTGGACATTGACGAGTCTTTCTCCCACGACTTAAAGTGGAAGCTAAATGTCTGTCCAAAAAAAAAAGCAACAAAAAAAACCCCACACATCGGAGGATCCATGTCCTGTAGCTACTGGAGAAATTCAACCTGCATACGTCAGAAGTGGTGTACTTTTACTCCTCTATGACTGAATCCATTCTCACTCATTTACCCCATAGAAATTTCCACATCTCTACAGCACTCCATATATGTTTTATATTTTATATAATATATTCTTATTTTTCTGAAACAAACTGGTTCTGACTGTAACAACAATAACCCTGAAGCCACAGAAACATTAAAAAAGTATTAAAAGTCACATTTTCTTTGGTTACAACCGAAGCTCAGCTTAGAAATGATTAGAAACTAATAAAAAAATAATATTGTCAATCTATTGTCAATTGAGGAAATCTCATAATGACAAATCTCTTGACCTTCAGAGTTTCTTCTTCGCTGGATGTTTATTTTAGAGTAAATTCCAAAAGTTTGCTGTTGACTGCTGGGGTACAAATGTCACACGCCCACGTGACTGTGTTTGACCCCTCATTTTATCTTTAACCTTTTAGCCTCCTGCTTTGTTTACACTCATTCGTGTTTTCTACACCGTCACACAAATACACCACCACACCTCATTTTTATCTTTCATATACAGGAGTATATGAGTTTTTATAAAAAGTATATTTGATTCAAGCCTATAGAAACTGCTGAAGGTCAAGGTAGAGTAGAAACCTTATCCAAACAAAGTAAGGATGAACAGTCAGTGTTTAATTTGCAAAATAAAAAGACGTTTCTTTTTTCTTTTGGTTGCTACAGTTGCAGAAATATGTAAGGACAAGCTTTCTCAGACAAACAGTTACAAAACCCTACAAATGTCAGTACTGTTTGTACAGACAATCAGCACTGATAAGGCCAGACAAAAGAAATGACCACTATAAAACTGCAATAGGAACCACAGATAAAACAAATATTTTACCTACGTTTGATAGCAGCAGCATCAAATCTCTACTGTGCTTGCCTGAGTTCAACT